GTTTGATAGGACAGTAGATGGACCTCTTGACTTTTTAAAATATTTATTTATTTAGAGAGATGGGGCGGGGGGAAGGGGTAGAGAGGGGGGAGAGAAAAGAGAAAGGGAGAGAGAGAATCCCAAGCAGGCTCCATGCTGTCAGTGCAGAGCCTGTTGTGGGGCTTGATCTCATGAACTATGAGATCATGACCTGTGGCAAAATCAAGAGCCTGACGCTTAACCTAATGAGCCACCCAGGTGCCCTGGATCTGTTGACTTCTATATGAGGAAATCATCTTCCAACTTTTGTGCACCTCTTTTATCCTTATTGGTTATATTACTTTGATCTTTACACAGTGGAGTCATTTTGTTTCCTGTATTTTATATATAGATTCTGAAATTTCAAATTGAGTATATAGCATTTGAGATTGTACTTCTGTATGATTCACTGCAGAACCAAGGAATCAGATCCATAGAGAAAGAAATGTAATCCTCTGTCACTAAACTTGTGCCACATGCACAAAAATGACCACTTCAAGGATCAAGGTCAAATCGAGTCTTTTTACACTCTAGCAGTTGCTGATAATCATGCTACACTTTAGTTTTTGTACTCGGACTAACATGTCCTTATGAAACTTTGCTTTCCCTGGAGTTTCTAATAACCTTTTATTTGACAAAACGATGCATATGCTATTTCCTCTTTTGGTGATGATCATCCAGCCTCTTACTTTTACTGTTTAACAGGAATCTGCTTTTTCTTTCAAGGAATTCTGATCCTTTGGTATCCTGTTCTAATGTGAACCCGTTATTTTTCAGGCTTGCTACATAGCTGATATCCTAGGATTTTTTTCCACCGCATTCCTAGGGTGGAGTCCTTTTTACTAGATGTCTTATTCTCTCCAAAGTATACTAAGTAATTGCACAAAGATGTAGATGTGAAGTAAATGTGAATTTTTGCATATCTGAGATATCTTTTTCAATTTTCTACTTAATTGTTTGGGTGTCGAATTCTGTATCAAAACCCCTTTCTGTCTGGACTTTGAACGTCTGCTGCAGTATCTTCTAGCACACATTTCTGCTGACCAGAAAACAGATGCCAGTCTGATTCTCACTCCTTCTTAGGTAACTTCTGTTTTCCTTCTCTGGATGCTTTCAGGCTATTATCTTTAGTACTCCAAAATCTTGCAAGGATTTGCAGTGTGTGTGAGACAGACAGACAATGCTTAAATTCACTATGCTTAGCAACTTTTCAGTAAAAAAGATGTGTATCTCTAATTATCCAAACTATCATCCTTCTATGATTTCTTTTCCTCCATTTTTTCCCGATTTTTTCCTTCTTAAATTCTTTCAGTTATTTGGTAGATTTATAGACTGACGTCTTATCTTTTTTCTAATTATCTTTTTGGGAAAACTGTATTTTTTAATCCAGTACTAGTAAATGTTTATTTTGACAATCATCTTAAATTTCTAACCACTCTTTTTCATTATTCCTTTTCCATGGTAACCTATTCTTTATTTATGGTGCAGTATCTTCAAATCTTTCTGTAGATACTAACTAAAGTTTTTCACTTACTCTCTTGGGCCAGCTCTTTGCTCAGTAAGGTCTTTTTCTTACCTGCCATTGGTTTTCTTCAGGTGTAGTAAATCTCAGTTGAACATTTAAAAGAAATTACATAAAAACAAAGGACCCGGCTTCTGGGTGGCTGGCTGAGTCTCTTCTGCCACTGGGAGTTCAAATTCTCCAGAATTCTCTAGCAGCCCTCCTCGAGGAATGGGAAGGACAACGTGAGGTACGCACTCATAGAGGACTATCAAATGGGAGACTTCACTTACGGGTACAGGGGCAGAGAGCAGGAAGGAGGAGCCTTCCAAATGCCCGAGAAGGGCTTTCCTTCGCTGCAAGCTGGGGCCCTCCTCAAGCAGCTCATTCACGTTTCTTCCAGAACAGTCCTCCAGCTTTTGTTTGCATGTAGGTTTAGTTGAGTGACGGCTGCAGCGAACCTGGTCATTCTGCATCAACCAGCACACTGGCTCTAGGTCCTGTCCTTCAGTTACCCTTTCCTATTAATCCTGTTGCCGCTTCGTTTGCCACTCTTAGTCTGCCCCTCTTGGAGATATTCTTGGGAAGAAAGACTTCACACCTGCTAAGTTCACACTTGTAAAACTTCCAGGCTATAGTTTGTACTCTAGTGTATCTCCTAGTAAGTTCCCAGCTCATTACCACTGTGGGGAAAACAATCAGTCCAGGAAGTAGTGAAGAATCCTGGTGAACATCTCAGGCAGCAGGGGGGGAAGAGACCCCAAGAGTCTCTGATCAACAGTCTTTATTACATGTGTTTGTATGTTGCAGTTTTATGGCCTATGTTTAAAATCATCAAACTCTCCCCCCAAGTAAATGATCATCTAGTCACCCCAAAGTTCCCAGGAGGTTTTCCTTCCAGAGGAAAATGACTTTAATCAGAAAATTAAAATATTTCAAATCTCCTCTCCCTTCTATTTACATTCATTTATAGTCTAGAATTTTTACACCTGTCTTGCCAAATTGTTTAATTACAATCAATCTCTCAAAATAAAATCCCCTCTAATAACTGTAAACCTTGAGCTTATTAGCCTAAAAATGAAGGCTGGACCTTAAACTTTGGTGGACAGACCAGATCCTCTCCTGGGCCCTGGTTTGAATGGTCAGACTGGCACCCACTGGCCACACATATTGCATATTACCAACACTCTTTTGGAGATAATGTGGCTTTATAGATTATATGGATATTTTACACAGAAATATTAAAATGAGTCACTGAAATAATATTAATAAACAAGCGTATGAAATTGTTCACATACAGAACAAATAAACCTTAAAATAGTTGGTATTAATCTAAGGAAGTTGTGGGTTGAAACATTTTAATTTTTCTCATAATACCCTAATACTGATTTACTAACCAAAAAGGAAGCACTTTTACACAATGAGAAAACTCTCAAGAATCAGGGGGACTTTGGGGTGCCTGGGTGGCTCAGTCGGTTAAGCGTCTGACTTCAGCTCAGGTCATGATCTCACAGTCCAGTTTGGGCCCTGCGTCGGGCTCTGTGCTGACAGCTCAGAGCCCGGAGCCTGCTTCGCATTCTGCCTCTCCCTCTCTCTCTGCCCCTCCCCTGCCCATGCTCTGTCTCTCTCTGTCTGAAAAATAAATAAAAACATTAAAAAAAATTTTAATTAAAAAAAAAAAAGAATCGGGGAATTTGGTGGAAGAAAAACTAGTATTAGAACGATGACAAGACTTATTCAGGGGTGCCTGGATGGCTCAGTCGGTTGAGCGTCTGACTTCAGCTCAGGTCATGATCTCTCAGTCTGTGAGTTCGAGCCCCGCGTCGGGCTCTGTGCTGACAGCTCGGAGCTTGGAGCCTGCTTTGGATTCTGTGTCTCCCTCTCTCTCTCTGCCCCTCCCCTGCTCATGCTCTGTCTCTTACTCTCAAAAATGAATAAATGTTAAAAAAAAAATTAAAAAAAAATAAAAAGACTTATTCAAAACTCCATTAGAAAAAACGCGTCATTCAGAACTGAACCTTTTCTAAATAGATACAGACTCCAGGTTTCTCATCCATTAACAGAATCCCTACATTCTAAATGCCACCTAGATGGAACGCTGCAGAACACAGTCTGCATTGTATCCTGCATTTTATAGTCAGAATGACTCAAAGCCTCACAGGAGCTTCATTCCATAATATTCCACAAAATTAGCAGTCAAATTCAGGTGGATCAAGTTCTTGCTCCTTGGGAAAACACTAGTTCACTGCTGTTTTCCAATGAGGAACAGTCTAGAAGGCAAACACAGGCACAAGAGAAGCGTGGAGGTCAGTCACTGTGTGTTCTGTACTTCACCTGCATTCCAAACACACCTTGTGCTCTATCATCATTACTCCTTTTATTTCTCACCTACAACTCCAGGTTGCATGCTCAGTGATAACAAAACTGTATGGGGTTTTTGGGGTTTTTTTTACACTTTTTTTGAAAGATGATTTTGTGATTTAGGAAATTCTGTACTTCCCTTTTTTTAATGTTTACTTATGTTTTTGAGAGAAGAGACAGAGCAAGAGCACGAGCGGCAAAGGAGCAGAGAGAGAGGGAGACACAGAATCCAAAGCAGGC